CAAAAACGATTTAATGATTTTTTTTTTAATAAATGCAAACCAATCAGAAACACCCACGTATGTGTTCTAAAGAGTTCTGAAAATCCTGGTTTGAGAACCAGTTCTTGTCTTTCTTTTTATTTTGGCCCAATAAAAGTTCACAACCTCTCTCTACATACTCCGATGGACATGCTCTCAGATTGTGGGGAAAGGGTATGTGAAGTTGAATGTTTTTTTCTTTTCTTTTTCCTGTTGAGTTTTGATGAAAGAATTGGGACTAAGACAGATGTCAATTAGACAAGGAGTATTATTATTTTTTTTTTTGATAATAAAGCAGTCGATTTTATGGCTAAAAAAAGTAAAAACACTTGATCTCATGATATTATTGCAGAAATTAAAAAGTAAAACTAAGTAGTACTAAAATTAATTACGCCGGCCACCGTAATTTAAACGCCGTCCATTTGCATAATTTGCTTGAGGCTCTGGAAGAATGGAACGAGCTTCGCCTCGTCGAGGGGACCATAAAATGCACGCGTCAACACCTATCTTGTCTCGGTAAAAGCTTTCTTTCAACATAAAATCGCCTGAAACTAAAACATTGACCTGTTTTTTTAACTGAGAACTAGAAGAAGCCATCGTTGAAGACAAAAAAAGTTAGACAAGGTTTTTTTTATTTGATTTAATTAATTTGTTGATGAAAAATGTTCTGAATGTATTATTGCTGAGTGAAACACAATATATATAGTGATATACAGCCACACAATGAAAAATCGAGAATATTAATTCTGAGCCAAAATTTTCAAGAAAGTAACTTTGTCCCAAAATAGAAAGAATGCAAAGCGATAATTAAAGGAGATTTGATTATACAAGCTAATGTTAAAGTGGTGTATATATATGTATACCTTTTTTTTCTATTGGTTAGAAACAATGAAAATGCGAAATTTCGATTTCTGTCCACTTGTCCACTACGCATCATACGTCACCTCTATTGTGTATCTTGTTTGGATTCTACTAGCTATGTTTCTTTTCAAAACTTCTTTTTGGATCATTGGAGGACATTTTTTATTTTATTTTATAAGTTAATCAAATACATATACACCATGATTAACTATTTTCTTTTCGTCTCTGAGTTGGTATATAATTTAAGTGAGATATATGTTTGAGTGATAGATTGCAAGTCTTCTATATCAACACACATTGTGGTTGCAAAATAATTTTTCTATTAGAAGCAAAATTAACTTTTACCAGATTCAGAAACGTTGAAATACAAGACCAAAACTTATACTAGTTAGTAGTAGCAATATAATGTTAAAGCTGTTTAAAAAAAAAATTAAGGAGAGAAAAAGAATAAGGTGATTTGCAACAATAACCAAAAAAAAATTATATTTGCAATCTAATGAAAATAGTATGATGTGCAGAAATATGAGCCATTAGATTAGGATGATTTAGTTAGTTAGTGAAATATAATTTTTTTTAGGTTATTTTAGCCAATTTCCCAAAATAATATCCCACGTTTTCTAATTTATAAAGTTACTGTTAAAAACTTTTTTTCTGTCAGACTAGTTAAATTATTTTATTTGGATTACTGAAGAAATAAAATACGAAGAAAAGAAAAATAGAAAATTAAGTGACTAATTAACTTAATACTAGATTTTGACCCACGTCCAAACGCAAAATAAATAATTGGGTTGACTAATCGATTTGAACATATATATTTTTGAATATTTAATCGTGTATAACAAATCATATGATTTTCAATATCTATAAATGTACAAAAGGATATGTATATGTATTATGATATTTTAATGCGTTAAAATAATCAAAACATATACAAATGTTATTTATTTCAATATTTTTAAATGTAAATATCTCATTATATCTTAATTAAGCTTTATGTTTTTTGTTAAACTTTATAAAAATGATCAAAACATTAAAATTTTACATTTTTGTTTGCTTAAATTTATTTTATATTTTACTTATGTTTTGCATGTAAAAACAAATGATTCCAATTTTATTTCAATTAGAAACAAATGTAAAAATTTAAGTAGAAAAATACATGATCTATCTCCTTTGTCACTAAACAAAAATAAACCATAATTTGCTTAGATGATTAATCATGATCAACTAATGTTTTGTTTACAT